TAATATGCAAGACGCCCGTTTCGTCCACACAAGACTAACCAGTGACGCTCAGATCAAAAAAGTTCGAAAGCCAAAACAAGTACAAAGTTGAAGAGCATTGAGGACCAAAAGTTCCAAAAAGTTGTGCCAAATACGGCTAAGGTTATATGTCTGGGATAAGAAAATCCTTAGTATTTAGAATAATTCATACTTTTGCAAACAGTAAATCTATAAAAATGACTATATAATATATATACATGATAACACTGAAGTGGTGACTAACTACAGAATAAAAACGGATACATAAAACAACAAAAACCAGCACAAAAAAATTCACACCCCGAGTTAGCCAAAGAGATCAACGCAAAAAAAGGGGTGACGTCACATTTGAATTTATGAAATTTTCCCAAAATAGGATAGAATTAGGATAGAATTCAAGATTTGGTTTATAATACGCATATAACATTTATTAATAACAATAAAAATTACAATACTAATTAATATAAAATGTGGTAGTAATTAGATAATTAATAGTATTATCTAGCTATGTCAGTGTGATGCAAACCACTAAATGATGCTTTGAGTTTACACTTTGGCGTCTTTTTGTGGTTAAATGCCAATCATTTATTTCAAGCATGGGAGTATAATGTTACATGCAATACTAGTAGTTTTATGTTTTGCAGGGCGATCGAGCTAACTTTATGCAAAAGAAATTGGGGACAAAACCTAATAACTATATGATTACATGGGAAAGTTCAAAACTTCTTAAGCCTATTATAATTGCAAAGTCAAGTCTACATATGGCCTGACGCATCGACAGCAAAGTGCAATTCATGTATGCGGGGAAAAAAATAAGAAGAAAAAGTCGCTCAGTTATTAGCAGTATACATGCGTCGAACCACAAGCACAATCATGTGACTCTCGTCTCTGTGAAAAAGTCTTATTCAAACGTTACAATCTATAGGTATATTTTTTCAGAGACAAGTAACAGCCCATCAAACAAAACAGGTTGTCGAATTATAGGACCGTCGGACTTGAGGATTGTCGAATTTTAGGACTAACTGAGTTTAGGTCTGACCACAGAAATTACTATGATTTGATAAAACTGCACCTTGTTTTTCTGATATTACAATCGACCCGGTAAGACCGTACATTCTCATCAGGTACCTAAGTAGCCCAATGTATTTTTATTTACTATAATAATCAATTACAATTGCGAATTTATTATAATCAATATAGATGTTTAGCTTGTTTATAACTTTTTCACGGCTGTAATGGCGACCGCTACTACGACAACACATAGGAGACGCATCACAAACTAAGGCAGATAATCAGAAAAACCTGTCTATAGACAAGATATAGATTGTTGATTTATCTTCTAAAAAACAATTTAAATCAGCCATGCTTCTGAATAATCAAACAAATGTTGCAGATGAGACAAAAATGATAAAATTCCTATTGTTGTTATTTCTATTATTTACAATTTCTGGATATAGGTATTCATTATAGTTTGTTCTGTTTGTTCACCATTTTATGCCCTCTATGTTATTTGTGTTTTTAGTGTTATGTTTCACATTTTCATATTTCATAATTGTTTTTCACTTGAAAATTGACTGCAAATGGTTTTTAGAAACGATATGGCTTGCATGCTACATGTATGTTTGGCTATAAGAACTGAATATATGTTAAGTACTTAAATTAGTAATATATAAAGGGAATGCATTACTATATTAATATTTAAATGGTATTTATTAATATTCAAATAGCATGAGTAATGCATAAACTCAAAGCGTGGCAATACTAACCATTTAAAACTAATAAAACACTTTTTGAAACAAGCATTCTGAGAGTATTGCATGGCAATACATAGTCCCCTACCGGTTAAAAATTAATTGTACTGGAACAAAATGCTAACTTGAAATATAACTTGTCACGGGGATGGTGTAAATAAAGGCAACAGTAGTATACCGCTGTTGGAAATTCATAAATAGATTGAGAAAAAAACAAATCCAGGTTACAAACTAAAACTGAGGGAAACACATCAAATATAAGAGGAGAACTACGACACAACAGAAACACAACATTAAAACGTACACACAGAAACGAACTATAATATAACAATGGCCATTTTCCTGACTTGGTACAAGACATTTTAAGAAAAAAATGGTGGGTTGAACCTGGTTTGGTGGCTAGCCAAACCTAACTATACAACAAATATCAAATCAATATCTCCAAGCATGACGAAAAAAAGTGCGGAAAAATGATTATTTGAGTGAATTTTCTAAGTCCAAGGACCATAACTCTGCAAAAAATCATCAGACTGGTACAAAATTCGAACTTGATCTGTAACTTGTCATGATAAAACAATGTACCAATTATTAAATCAATATCTTCAAGAATGACGAAAAGAAAGTGAGGAAAACTGAATATTTGAGTGAATTTTTAAAGTCCAAGGACTATAACTCTGCACAAAATTATCAGACCGGAACAAAATTCGAACTTGATCTGTAACTTGTTATGATAAAACAATATACCAAATATCAAATATCAATATCTTCAAGCATGAAGAAAAAAAGTGTGGAAAACTGATTTGCCGGACTGACTGACAGACAGACAGACAGACAGACAGACAGACAGACGGAGTGCAAACCTAAAGTCCCCTTCGACTTTGTCGGTAGGGGACTAATTAGTCACTGGTAAATACTATATCAGGAAGGGCAAATAATGAGAGTCAGAACTTCAGAATAAATGTTTACTTGTTTGAACGACAAATATAATTCAGAAAATGGCCTATGATTTTATACCACTCCAATAACTATTCAGTCTTGGTGGTTTGTGACTTTGTACTTTACCCAGTTTGGCCTTTAGATTTGGTGTCCCAATTTACCTTGTCTTTTAAATGCCATTTTATATTGATTATAAAAGTATTTGTACTAGATTATACAACAAAACAGCGACACAAATGGCCCTACTTGCAAAAAAAGCTTGAAGCCATATCTAGGAGTGGAAATTTGAGAATGAAAGTCTGTATAACTGTTATTTTCATGAAATTTTCAAAGTCCAAAGCCAAAAATTTCAGCACAAATTAGCACGGCAGATCCAAATGTCAACTACATCTGTAACTCATCATAGTAGACTCAGATACTAACAAGAAAGTGTCCAAAGTACATGGATGCCCCACTAGCACTATCATTTTCTATGTTGAGTGGACCTTGAAATAGGGGTCAAAACTCTAATTTGGCATTAAAATTAGAAAGATCATATCATAGGGAACATGTGTGCTAAGTTTAAAGTTGATTGGACTTCAACTTCATCAAAAACTACCTTGACCAAAAACTTTAACCTGTAGCGGGACAGACAGACAAACAGACACACGAATGGACGCACAGACTGAAAAACATAATGCCCCTCTACTATCGTAGGTGGGACATAAAAATCAGCTCAATATGTGAAGGTGTTTAGAAAAAAGTCCATATAACTGTTATTTTCATGAAATTTTCAAAATCCAGAGCCTGTTATTTCAGAAAATATCAGCAGAGCAAAACCAAACCTAAACTCCATCTGTAACTCATCACAGAAGACTTAAAGTCTGTATAACTGTTATTTTCACGAAATTTTCAAAGTCCAAAGCTCGTAATTTTGGCAAAAATCAGCGGAGCGGAACCAAACATAACCTCGATCTGTAACTCATCATAGTTGACTCACATAATCAGCTCAATATGTGAAGACATTTAGAAAAAATGTGGATAGTGTCCACATGTGGACACAGATGATGCCCCCGCTTGCATATCATATAGTTATAAAGGGACATAACTGAAGAACGGTAAAAGTGACGCTACTCAAATTTGAACTTGATCTGAGTTTTGTGGTAATAATCATTGTGTGTAAGTCTCATAACATTTGGTTGAGGCTAACTTAAGAACAGAAACTAAAAATTCAGCAATTTTTCTATTTGTAAACACGCATAACTCTAGAACGGTTGTGTATAAGTTTTACAACATTTGGTTGAGACAAACTAAAAAATTTAGCAATTTTTATGTTTATAAAGGGACATAACTCTAGAATGGTAAAAGTGTTGCCACCTAATTTCGTACTTAATCTGTATTATGTAGTAATAAGCATTGTGTATAAGTTTCATAACATTTGGTTGAGGCAAACTCAAGTTGGAGAAACTGAAACAAAAAAATTGTACTTGATCCTTACTGAGTTTTGTGGTAATGAATATTGTGTATAGGTTTCATAATGTTTGGCTGGGGAAAACTTCAGTTACAGAATAGAAACTAAAAAATTTTGCAATCTTTCTATTTATAAAGGGGCATAACTCAATAATGGTTAAAGTGACACTACCGCCATTCAACTTGATCTGTGTTTTATCAGTGGAAGTCAAAATTAAACATTGCATTGTATAAAGCATTGATTGTAGTTGATTCAACTATAATCATGGTCAAAGGAAGATAACTCCAATTTTAAAAATATATTATATAAACTTGATATTTAGAAGAAAATAAAAATTTTGCAATTTTTCCTTTTATAAAGGGGCATATCTCTAGATCGGTTTAAGTGACACCACCAAAATTCAAACTTGATCTGTGTTTTGTGGTAATAAGCATTGTGTATAAGTTTCATAACATTTGGTTGAGGCAAACTTAAGTTAGAGAACGGAAACTAAAAATTTTGCAATATTTCCTTTTATAAAGGGGCATAACTCTAGATCGGTTAAAGTGACGCCACCAAAATTCAAACTTGATCTGTGTTTTGTGGTAATCAGCATTGTGTATAAGTTTCATAACATTTGGTTGAGGCAAACTCAAGTTAGAGAACGGAAACCAATTTCGGGACGTACAGACGGACAAGGGTAAAACTTAATGCCCCCTCCGCTACGGCGGGGGCATAAAAAAGATCTAATAACTCTTATATAACAGAAGGGATAAGGGTACCACAATATGGCGCCGACCACTTAGTGGTGGGGCCATAAAAATTGTATGTAGCATTGCAGACAATCTAGTCCTTAGTAGGCTTACCTGTGATGATGTGTCTTTTTATTGTACCAAGTGTTGAGAATTCTAAATGAATACTTAGGTGTTCTCTGGTGAAGGACATGGTATATCACATTCTCAAATGTATAAATATTAAGAGTAACCTGCAAAATACAATCAACAATTGATCATAAGCTGAGGTTCAATTGCTAATAAAATGCTCCGCAGGGCGCAGCTTGATACGACCGCAGAGGTCGAACCCTGAACAGTTGGGGCAAGTATGGACACAACATTCAAGCTTGATACAGCTCTGAATTTGGATTGTGATTAAATATTTGACACAGCATAGGTTTCTGACACAGAATGAATGTGGTCTAAGAACTTAAAAATTTTAAATTGGACATTCACCTATTATGGTCCAATATCCAAAATCTAAATACATGGTTAGATTCAGCATATCAAAGAACCACAAGAATTCAATTTTTGATGAAATCAAACAAAGTTTAATTTTGGACCCTTTTGACCTCAATGTAGACAAAGTTGATAATGGGGCCCAAAAATCAAAAATCTAAATACATGGTTAGATTCAGCATATCAAAGAACCCCATATATTCAATTTTTGTTGAAATCAAACAAAGTTTAATTTTGGACCCCGATTTGGACCAATTTGAAAACTGGGCCCATAATCAAAAATCTAAATACATGTTTAGATTCAGCATATCAAAGAACCCTAAGAATTCAATTTTTGTTAAAATCAAACTTAGTTTAATTTTGGACCCTTTGGACCTTAATGTAGACCAATTTGAAAACGGAACCAAAAATTAAGAATCTAAATACACGGTTAGATTCGGCATATCAAAGAACCCCAATAATTCAATTTTTGATGAAATCAAACAAAGTTTCATTTTGGACCATTTGGACCTCAATGTGGACCAATTTAAAAACGGGGCCCAAAATCCAACTTAATACACGGTTAGATTCAGCCTATTAAAGAACCCCAAGAATTCAAGAATAAAACCCCATTGAAATTGGTCAAGAAATAAGCAATTTATACGAGGTATCTTCTTTTGCACAATACTGTGCAATTGAATATTTCTTGGTATTGCGCAATACTGTACAATTGACAATTTCTTGCTATTGCGCAATATTGTGCTATTGGATATTTCTTGCTATTGCACAATACTGTGCAATTGAAGATTTCTTGCTATTGCGCAATACTGTGCAATTGAAGATTTCTTGCTATTGTGCAATACTGTGCAATTGAAAATTTCTTGCTATTGCACAATACTTATTATATAATAATATTATCCTGTTTGGTGTGTATCTCCTACCATATCATTATTATTTGCTTTTAAATATAAATCAGAAATAACCAACTTAAAATGGAAAATTTTAAAAGAAAAAAAAAGAAAAAAAAGAAAAAAAAGGAAAAAAAAAAAAAAATCCCCCCCCCCCCAAATTTTTTGAACCCCCTTATGATTCATCACCCCCAAACTCAATCCCAGCCTTCCCTTTGTGGTATGGTACCTTGCAGTACAATTTCAGAGAGATCCATACACTTGAACACAAGTTATTGTCTGGAAACTAGAAAAATTCGTAAGGGTTCCACGGAACCCAGTGTCTCGCCTACTTTTGCTGTTAATCGCAGGCTCAACAAAAATGAGGGAAAAAAATCAATAAAAATACTCCTTTAGATACTATCTTTTAATTGTAAGAAGCTTCTGTCAAAGTTTCGTATAAATCCAGGATAGTTTAAGAAAGTTATTAAAATTTTAAAAACTTTAACCAGAGTGAAAATATTGTTTCCTGGCAGAAAAACTAAGTCCATTTATAAGAAAAATACGGAAAAAATGAAATTTTTTTTTTAACAAATTTACTTCTGGATACTATAGATCTTATGATCATAAACAAGCTTCTGTCCAAGTTTGGTACAAATCCAGGATAGTTTAAGAAAGTTATTAAAATTTTAAAAACTTTAACCACAGAGTGAATGTGTTGTTTCCTGGCAGAAAAACTAAGTCCATTTATAAGTAAAGTTAGGAAAAAATGAAATTTTTTTTTTACAAATTTACTTCTGGATACTATCTTATGATCATAAACAAGCTTCTGTCCAAGTTTGGTACAAATCCAGGATAATTTAAGAAAGTTATTAAAATTTTAAAAACTTTAACCACAGAGTGAATGTAATGTTTCCTGGCAGAAAAACTAAGTCCATTTACAAGTAAAATACGGAAAAACAGGAATTTTATTTTTACAAAATTTACTTCTGGATACTATCTTATGATCATAAACAAGCTTCTGTCCAAGTTTGGTAGAAATCCAGGATAGTTTAAGAAAGTTATTAAAATTTCAAAAACTTTAACCACAGAGTGAATATTTGTGGACGCCGCCGACGCCGACGGAATGTAGGATCGCTATGTCTCGCTTTTTCGACTAAAGTCGAAGGCTCGACAAAAATGTGTTTTTTGGCCCCTTTTTGGCCCCCAATTCCTAAACGTTTTGGGCAATTACCCCCAAACTCAATTCCAGCTTTCCCTTTGTGATATGGAACCTTGTAGTACAATTTCAGAAATATCCAAACACTTACACACAAGTTATTGTCATGAAACTAGAAAAATGCTTGTTTTTTGCCCCTTTTTTGGCCCCTAATTCCTAAAATTTTGAGGGAATTACCCCCAATAATCAATCCCAGCATTCCCTGTGTGATATGGAACCTTGTGGTACAATTTCAGAGAGATCCATACACTTGAACACAAGTTATTGTCTGGAAACTAGAAAAATGCTTGTTTTTTGCCCCTTTTTTGGCCCCTAATTCCTAAAATTTTGAGGCAATTACCCCCAAAATCAATCCCAGCATTCCCTTTGTGATATGGAACCTTGTGGTACAATGTCAGAGAGATCCATACGCTAACACACAAGTTATGTCTGGAAGTTACAAAAATGCTTATTTTTGGCCCCTTTTTGGCCCCTTATTCCTTAACTGTTGGTACCATAACCCCCTAAAATCAATCCCAACCTTCCTTTTGTGGTATTGAACCTTATGGTAAAATTTCATAGAGATCCATTCACTTAAACTAAAGTTAGAGTGCGAAAACCAATGTGTCTTCGGACGACGCCGGACGACGCCGACGACGCTAACGTCATACCAATATACGACCGCAAAAGTTTTTGCAGTCGTATAAAAAGTACTGTTAAATTTTAATAATGCTATCAAAAACAACCTGCATTTTGTTAGTACCATGAATATTATTTGTTCAGCTGCATCATATTCATACATAGTGGCAAAATGGGGCCTGCATTGCTCATGCCACTTAATCATATCATACAGAGGAAAAATAAAAACAAGAGTGCACATGCTTAAATGTCTCCTCTGCTTAACTGATGATTACTGATTTTGTGTTGATAGTCTTGATGCTTTAAAACAACTATCACGTAAATTTGACATAATCTTTAATCCACGTAAATGAGGTCAAGGTCAGATGAACCCTGCCAGGCAGATATTGATCAATTACTTGCCATACTACAAATGGGTCAAGCACAGTGGACTATACTATAGTATCTGATTCATTATTGAATCAAACTTTATAATTTTAAAGTTGCAGATTTCATTCCTTCCTTATCTGATACCCATTGTCTTTTGAAATGGTGCATTATAAGCTCTGTAAAGCCTTGTGTTAAAACTAAAAATCAGCATATCAAAGAACCCAAGAATAAAATTGTTGATTAAACAAAAGTTTAATTTAGGACCCTTTGTACCTTGATGTGGTGTTATCTAACTAATAATGAAAATAAATACAGGTTTAGATTCAGCATTTCAAAGAACCCTATATATATTCAATTTATGTTGAAATCAAACTCAGTTTAATTTTGGACCCGATTTGGACCAACTTGAAAACTGGGCCCAAAATCAGAAATCTAAATATATGTTTATTAATAGACAATATAAGCTAAGTTTTGAAAGGAGTTCACCTAATCAAAAAAATATATATAGCATTCAGAAAATTAGTTTTTACAGAATAACAAACAATATACAATTTACCAAAGAAAAGAAAAACAAGAGGCTGTCAGAGTGACAGCAAACCGGATTTTCCTGCAGAGGTCGAACCCTGAACAGTTGAGCAAGTATGGACACTACTTAAAACAGCTCTGAATTTGGATTGTGATTGAATATTTGACACAGCATAGGTTTGTGACACAAAATGAATGTGGTCAAAGAACTGAAATATTTGAAATTGGACATTTACCTATTATGGTTCAATATCCAAAATCTAAGTACATATTAGAAAGTAAAATCACAAAAATACTGAACTCCGAGGAAAATTCAAAAAGGAAAGTCCCCAATCAAATGTCAAAATCAAAAAAACAAACACATCAAACGAATGGATAACAATTGTCATATTCCTCACTTGGTACAGGCATTTTCTTATGTAGAAAATGGTGAATCAGCATATCAAAGAAACCCAAGAATTCAATTTTTGATGAAATCAGACAAAAGTTTAATTTAGGACCCTTAGGACCTCAATGTGGACCAATTTGATTAAAGGAGCCCACAATCCAAAATTTCTCAATACATGGTTAGATTCAGCATTTCAAAGAACCCCATAAATTCAATTTTTGTTGAATCAAACAAAGTTTAATTTTGGACCCTGATTTGGACCAACTTGAAAACTGGGCCCAAAAATCTAATATTTAAATACAGGTTTAGATTCAGCATTTGAAAGAACCCTATATATATTTAATTTATGTTGAAATGAAACACAGGTTAATTTTATCCATAATATTTTCTGTGCAAAGGGAAATAACTTAAACTGGATAAAATTTTTCTAAAATAAGATATGATGCAATTTTTCAAATATTAGTCAATTATATAATAACAACAACCAGTGATGACTAAGTTCTCTAAAGATATGATTTAACACTCAAACATTGGTAGAATCAGTATATCAAAGAACCAAAGAATTCAATTTTTGATAAAATTAAACAAAAGTTTAATTTAGGACCCTTTGGACCTCAATGTGGTATTATCTTATTAATAATGAAAAGAAATACAGGTTTAGATTAAGCATTTCAAAGAACCCTATATTTATTTAATTTATGTTGAAATCAAATACAGTTTAATTTTGGACCCAGATTTGGACCAACTTGAAAACTGGGCCCAAAATCA